CACGTGGCTGAAGACCCCCCTGCTTAGGGGGCTGCTCTACAGTGGAGAGGGCCTGCTCACACAGCAGACCCTACATCTACATATCTACAGAAGTGCTGCTGGGGGCTGATCAAGATCTCAGCCCCCTCTCTCCTCCAACTGGCTGCTGCAGCAAAGACCAAGACCCTCCTGGTCTTGGTATACCTTATGCCCTTGGAGACACCAAGGGCCAGGTATCACTCCCTTCTCCCCTCTCCCTCTACTAACCCACTCTCCCTACCTCTCGTCTCTCCTCTTACTCACCCCTTCTCTTTCCCCCACCTTCCACTGCATCTTTTCTCTCCTCCTTTTATCTTCCCCACCCCACCTTTCTCCCAACACCCATTATTTCTCTCCTTCCTTTATTTCTTTCTTTTCTTCCTCCTTTTTTCTCTTTGCTTCTTGATCCCTGTCCACCTTTCCCCATCCCTCCTCTCCCCCAACTACCACCACCCCATCCCCCTACCTCCCACTTCATCTTTTTCTTTCCCCCCACCTATTTCTTTCTTTTCTCCCTCATTTTTCATTCCCCTTCCCCCCTACTTCGAAAATTTCTCTGTTTTTCTTCTTTCCACCTCTCTTTTGATTTATCTTTTCTCTTTTTTCAAAAATTCGAAATATCTTCTTTCCCACCTTCTTTTCTCATTTTCTGATTTATTTAATTTATTTTTTTATTTATTCTGAAAAATCCGATTCTCTCTACGGCAACCCTAAATCTGATTAGTTGTTAGTATTCTCATCTTCTTCCCCACCCTCTTTTCTTTTTTTTTTTTATTTATTTTATTTATTTTTACTTATTCTGAAAATTCTTGGCGGCAACCCTAAATCTGATTAGGTGTTAGCCTTTCTTGCTTTCGACACACGTTTTGACCCCGTGGGGGTAACGAAGTGCTGCTGAAATTTTCTGATTTTCTCTTACTTATTCTTTTCGGCACACTTCGACCCCATGGGGGTAACGAAATGCTGCCAATTTTTTTTTTTAAATCAGATAACCCATTTCTCCCCATCTCCTCACACACTAATTTACTTATTTATTTATTTATTTATTTATTATTTATTATTTATTTTCTGAATTTTCTTTTTTATTTATTTATTTGCGGCATCTCTAGTGTGCACACCTCGGTCTCTCCTTTTCCTTTGGCACATTCTTCACCCTGTGGGGGGTAGGGAAATGCTGCCGAAAATTTTCAAAAAAATAAATATTGTTTTTCTTCACATCTTTTTACTTATTTCTTTAATTATTTTTATTATTTATTATTTATTTATTTT